AGAGATCCATGTGGAATGCACACTCGTCCGGTGCCTGAGTTGAATGCCACGAAGAGGAAGATCGAGACCAGCAAAAGAATAGCTGCCTTGGACATGACGAAGCTTAAAAAGTTTACTCGGTGACTCAGTGTCGTTTTCAGAAACATCTCACCAGATCACACAATTATTTTCACAAAGGTTACAGTAGTCATCTCCGAGTCTGGACAAGCCTGGTAACCTGAGGCTTCGGGATATTGATCACTTGTTCACCAAATGTTGAGTAAAGAAAACAATTGTCAAGCCACTGATATGCCGTGGAAGAAACGACCAGTTTCAGCAGCTGCACTCTTGCCGCATCCTGCTGGCAAGGAGCCATCTACGCGAAGTAGGTGCTACTTAAGCTTCGTTAGTTTCTGTCTTTCCTGCCGGAAGATGATGCTCCTCGGCATCCCACATGATGCGCGGTGACTCTTCGTAAACCAAATCGCCAGCTTGAAAGTTCTGCTCCGCCACTGCTCCAAGACCCTCGCTGCGGACACATCCGCTGTTACGACAAATGTTGGCTTGGACTACCTACCATTTGATTATGTAATTAGAACTTCGTTTCACATCGTTTCACCGCAGTCAGCAGCTCGACAACCATGCAAGGCCTTGCCCTCAATGGGAACCACGTGAAAGCCCGGAAATTTTGTCCAGCACAGTGAACCCGCGCAGGCAAAAGCAGCACCTCGCCAACAGATTGGCAGGCACCGAATGCCACGACGAAATTAAAGCTACAGCTACAGCGCTACAGCGCAACTGGCGCAAGTCAATATCCCTGCATCTTGATGCATCGTGTGTTTTCTCATTTGCCCGAAAGACATAACAATCGTAATATAATAGCTTTCGCCTGCCAAAGAATCCTGGCAACACTCCTTGCAGGATCCTCCCGGCCTAGAAAGCACAGGCGCTGGCGTTGACCCCGGCTTCGCGCCATGGCGAATTGCTTCCCCCCGCGCCCGTTGACGGGTCAAGCTCCGCTCGCTCGCGGAGCTTTTCACCCCATGTCCCGGATCCAAGCGGAAACCGAAGCGGAGGACGGGAAAATATCCCCAGCGGATGGACTGAAACACTCTCCTAAAGGATCCAGAGGATGGATGGACTCACATGGATGGATGGAGGTTTTTGGAAGTCGCTGGAGCCGGTCCGATTGCTGTGCTGCTGAACAAAACAGCTAAAGGCTGAAGGTTTAAAAAAGGCCTCAAGGTATGTTGAAGCATCTTGAAGCATGAGGTTCAGAATTTGGGAAATCCAGCGTCTAAACAGCCGAGGTTCCAAATCTCCTGGGTCCCCTGTGAATCACTGACTTCCACCTAAAATAGATAGATGACTTCCTTTCGAAGTACCAGTAGCCTCTATAAGGTCAATGCTTGACACATTGACCTTCCCTTCGTCCCGCCGCACCTGGCACGGCGCCGCGCCGTGTGGCGACACGCACGGTGCCCACGACGGCCGTCGTGACGCCTGCAGGCTGCAGCCGTGCAGAGGTCGGAAGTGCTCGAAGTCTAAGGCTTCTTGAAGATACCTTGGGTCTATTTTTGTAACCAGTAACAGTGGATGATGGTTCAGTTGCAGCCCTTGTTCCAAAAGTGTGTTGTTTTTTGTCTGAGAGTTACAAGTAAGTTCCGGACAGACCCAAATATGAAAAAGATTGAAAAAGCACCCAGGTCACATGAGGTCGAAAGCACCAACAGGTGAATCACACAAACCTCTGAGTCGGCAGGTCTCCTGCACTAGTGCTGGTATTTGACGGTGATGTTTCCATATGTTTCCATATGTTTCCCCATCCATCCACTGCGTGTCGCGTCGTGCGTCCAAAAGGTCGGCCTGGCAAGAGGATGAAGAGGGTCGGGGCCCATAGAGCCATGCCTTTGAGCTTCGTGCTTTGTTCACCGGATCTTCGTCACAAACATCGAAGATCCACGTTAGAACTTTGGACATCCCTTTTTAGCAAACATGATAATGTCCATACAGCATACATGTCACACATGTCACACATGTCCTTATTCCTTATAATACAAAGTTGGTTGACACTTAAAGCACCGTCTGACGCTTTCCGGCACCTTCTCTGACCTGAAGTTGCCAGGGGCGGCCTCAGACGTTCGACAGGATGGGAGGACCAGGTGGGGAGGACCAGAAATGGATTGAAGTGGGTCATTGGTCGTAGGCGATGTGGCATGGCTTAGCAAGTGGTCTAGCCACTTAGACTTGTAGTCTGAAGATGTGACTGGCCATTGTGCTGCGCAGATTGCTGTGTGCAAGTGGCCCTTTTTCTCTGCACGTCACACCACTTAGTGGTGTCTGCGATCAAGCTGTAGTCAAATGTCGCCTGAGCAGGAATCTACTTGCAAAGTCCTGACTTACTTTGATGCTGTACGACGAGCTCCACGACATCTGGCTCCATCTACCAAGTGGACTGAGAGTTCCAAAGTCACTGCTGGAACGCACCAAGAGCATCCAAGAGCTGTGTTGATAGAATTGATCAATGTCAAACGTCGAACCTTTCTAGAACAAGGACAATTAGACCTCGTCGTTCAGTGGCGATTTTGAAAAACTCAGTCTCGGTCATTGGACTGCAACGTTGAGTCAGCACCAACTGTGGACAAATAATTCTTATTCAGCCACCAAATAATCCCAAGAACAACAAAGAAGTTGCAGCTGAGTAGTTCAGTTATTCAATTCGGTCTTAATCAGCATAGGGGGGTGCCAAAAATTCTTAGAACGCGCGCGCAAACTTTGGCGTGCTCTGCGTGGAATCCTCGTTGAAATCCAGCAAGTCGGCCAGATCCGCCAGATCGTCGTCTCCGTCCCCGGACACGTCGTCCTCGACGTCCGAAGAAACGCCGAGCACGTTCTCGGCGTCCACGTCGCCGTCCTCGAGCGGCTCCGCTTGGAGTTCTTCGAGCGTTGGCAGGTCCTGCAGGTCCTGCAGGTCTGGGACCTCTGCGTCCCCATCTTCCACTTCAAGCCTAAAGAGACAGGCTGAAGCGACAGGACGTTTTGAGCGAAACAAAAAGTGCTTCTCTTGGTTGCAAGCACATTTAGCCAGTCGTCAAGTAGTTGCTTTTGAATTCTAGCACTATGAGATAGTGTCTTCTCACCAGCCGCCCTTGGCAAATCCGCTTGCTCGGCCCATTTGCTCCAAGCTGCTCCACAGGAGCCTTCTTCTTTTTGCTCTTCTTCTTCTTTTTCTTTTTCTTCTTCCTGAACTGCATTGCGCCAATATGCAATCAGCTGTGGGCTGTGAGCTCATGTGAGCTCATCCAGGAGATGCAACCAAGGCTCTTTTTCTTTTTGAAGCCACCTTGGGGTCATCGGTCGACTGGCCGGGGTATGAGTATCGCTACTAGGAGCAAGGACGCTACTAGGGGCTCCTGGCCGTACTACTAGGAGCAAGTAGCTACTAGTAACAAGAAGCTACTAGAAGCTCCTGGCATCGCTACTAGGAGCAAGGACGCTACTGGGGGTATGAGCAGAGTACTTTACGTCAAACCGATGATTGTGTCGGCCTCTCAATGATTGTTATTGTGGATGCATCACAGTGTGAAATTCAGGTGAGGGTCGGACTCCCCGTTCCATAGTAGTAAAAGGGGGACACCCAACCCTGGGATACCCGGGGATACCCCACAACAGTCTATTATAGAATGGAAACCTGAGGCGTGGCTGGCAGAAATACACCTCTTAAACATGGTAACCACTCCTTGACATCAGCAATGCCACAAGTACCCAAAACGCGTACTCTGTAGATTGAATGCCATTGATTCAACTCTATAGGATCAAAACCAGTGAACACACAAAATCACCTCCAAAAAATCAGAGACTCTCTCTATAGGATGGACAACTTCGCTTTAACATCCACCGTAAATTACGACCATTCTCTCATGTCACATAATCCTGCTAACAGCAGCTTTGATTCCATAGAGAAGCCACTCTCTATAAAATGACCGGGTCGGCCCCCCCAATAACAAGAGACTATTGGCACGAGGATGCTAATTACACTAATTACATGACAGAACCGAAGCAGTCAAGCAGGATCCACTAAGCCTTGATCAAGTCACACAGTCTCGACATGTCTCGACGGTTCGTTCGACAAAGCATGGGGAAGCTGCTTATTCCCACCTGAGGAGGCCGTTGACAGGTCTTTTGCCTTTACATCAAGCTGCTCTACATCAAGATCGAAGCAACCCACGTACGTCCACGATCACTCGCTGTCAGACGTCCAAGGAACTGGGAAGAAACTGCTGCAGCTGCACCGCTATCGACCTCAGCTGTACGACCTCAAGGCGACCTCAAAATGATTTTGCGGCCCTTGGGGTGAAGTCAGTGAAGACCCTCGACGTTTTCAGCCCCCTCCCTTCACTCCCTTCTTCCAATGCGTCCTCGGAAGGCACTGGGACTAGCGCTGAAGCTCTTCAAAGCATGTGAAAAGGATGGAACGCCAAAAACTCTAAAACGCTGTGTATTCAATCGAGTGGCTTCCGGCCACGAGCAGCTAGGTCCTGAAAGGCAAAAAGTTGACTGGCTGCACCGATTGAAGCATGAAAAATATCAAAACATATTGTGGAAGCTGTGTACAGCGAGCATACTGGGGACCAATGACTTAGAACTTGTTAGGTCCAATGACATAGTAGGTAGTTGCCAGGTCGGTTTACCCAAGTCATCATGGAGCAGAAAACATTGGATATCTACCTGAGTGAAATGAACAGCGATATGACTTAGGAGTTGCGCGCAAAAGATGAAATGATATCAGCTACCATTCCAGGAACCCTCAAAAGGGTGAGGGTGTCTTAAGTTTCCTGATAGTGCTAGTTTTGATTGATGACTTGGGACACGGTGTTCCTCATGACATGGGAGTTGTGTTTTTGACTATATATACTTCCGACAAATTCTATGTCAGTGGTGGCCAGTATGTAAAATAAAAAATACTCTATTGATATGTTGACACATGACATTATGATTGTATGTGTATTTCATAACATTCTTCATGACCCAATCAGTTTGGCCTCACGTCCGGGGCCAAGTCGTTCGTCCTGCTCCAGTCGCTTCAGGAAACTCTTCAAGCGCGTTGCACGCTCCTCCTGGAGTTCGTCCGTCTCGCGCAGGACCGACCGACGGTCTGCGCACGAAGAGATGACGGGCGCCTTAGGAATGGAACTGCCAGTGGAAAGCTTCTTGGACTCTTGGAAGACTTCCCGAGCCTGGCCCATCCGGCGAGTCAAGAAGACGAAACGTGGGGTTGATACGTGGGCTGCCACGGGTTCTCGATCATTCTCACACAAGTCAGCCTACTAGAGCTTGACTCATCACAAGTCAGCTACTCACAACCAGGATGTTGCAGGACTTTCAAATGTTCTCACAGTCCGTCCCCTTTCATAAGATTTCATAAGTGTGTCAAACGTCACTTTTGTGACCAAAAGAGTTTGACTCAAGTCCCTCAAGCAGCAAAACATGTTAATCAAAGCAAAGTTCTCTACCGCGTTGAATCCTCAACTCTATTTCGTTCTCGTGCCACCCACAAAAACACATCACCAAGCAACAGCGCCTGCATCCATTCTGCCCGTGTTTTGTCTTAGAAAGCAGCAAAAAATAACAAAAACATTCATATTGGAACTGGGTTGAACTGAACCTTTGAACAGAATACAATCGTTAAACAGGGAAAAAAACACAGTTTCTTCTGCTTGTAACAGTGCAATTCCCACTCGCATGTTTTGATGCTTGCGAAGTCTTGGTGGCACAGGTTGAGGCTTAGTGTCAACAAAGTATGCGCTAACCGAAACCAGTACACCAACGATACTTCAACCAAGTATGCTGAAGTATGCCAAGACACTGCTGCCGCGGGTGAACAAGCTTTCAGCCTGGCGCCGACCTCGTTTCATCAGGTTTCATCCATTCGAAGCACTTACAAAATGCTTCACACGACGCTCACCATCACGACGCTCACCGTTCACATCGACGCTCACGGTCTCCTCGCGCTCCCATGACCTCCCCGCCTTCGTCGAGCGCCATTTGCATCAAGTCTCTGCTCTTCTGATTCCTCAAAGCGTCTGGCGTTCACAGGAAACTCTCCCTTAAAAAGATCTTTTCAAACATGCGCGCAAAAACATGTTCTGGCAAGCTGCACGAAAAAGCCTTCGACGCGAATAAATGCATGCATATGAATAGTATTGAATAGTTTCCTTTCAACATGTCGTTGGAGATGTTTTGAGCAGCTCTTTTCAGCCGCGTCTCATGCGGACGGCCAGGCGTTGCCGCTCCAACTGCTTTCGCTCAGCCACCCAGTAGGGCTCACCACCTGTCTGCCGCATGAACTGCGCATAGAACCTGAGCAAAAACGTGTTGTACTTTTCTGTTTAAAAGAAGTTGATCCTTGATCCTCATTGATCATCTGGGAAAAAAACTCGCGTATGTCTGCAAGAAAGATGTGTTCGTAGGAGAAGATCTCAGGTATCGCTATGGGACATCGAGGGATAAACTGCTTAAACTCCTTCAGATTGGATGGACCCACAATAACTCTTTAAAAGAATCACATTGGACAATTGGAGGAACTTGGACTGGTACCAAGGGTGGATGCATCAATGGCTCGGAATCGCCTTCTTGGGGAGCGTCTTGCGTGTTTGGGTTGGTCACCAAGCTGCTGGGTTCGCCCCGGAGAAGGAGGCGTACTGCAGGGCGCTTTCTGGAAGATGCATCTGCAGCTGCGTGTGCGGCGTGCGTTGCGTCTTCGGCGTGACATCTTCTGATGTCGAGTCAAGGACATCAACATCTGGACAAGTCAATTTAGCACAAGCTTACGATTCTTCACATGTCTTTGCTTTCACATGTCTTTGCTTTGGAAGAAGGATGTTTGAAAGGTAACTGGATTTTCCAGGTAGACAAGTCAGTGTCCAGAAAGAACCGTCCCTCACTTAGCATCTCTCATCAACTCAAACACTCCCTTTTTGTTCGCCAGGTCACCGAAGAACCTCAATGGAATTCACCTCCTCTCCACGATAGTCCACGGCAGTAAGGCCGAACTTCTCACAAAAACCATTAGGCAAATGATCCTCGCAACCGTGCAGGTTGGACTTGACAACGCGTCACCGACTGTACATCCCTTCTACTGAACTGGCAAGAGAACGCAGCAAAATGCAGCTAAAGAAAAAATGAACATCCACGGATTAAATGCTCTCTCGTGACAGAGAACGCTCTGAGTCTCCTTGGCACCAATCACCAGGAAGCCGCCCGGTCGCAGTCGCTGCACCATGTCTGCTAAAACAGTGAAGAGTTGTGCACTTTGCAAGTAGAGACACACCTCAGCCAAACAAGGCCAAACAGCAAGAACACGTACTGTGACGGATCTTGAACAGTGCACAATCGTCTCTTAACTTGTCTGCTCAGTCGCTGCGTAGCGTGAGAGAATGATGTCGAAGGGACCCTCTGGCATCTCTTCGGTTACATCCTTGCGAGCAGCATCTCTGGAAGCAATCCCAAGTCTAAAGCTTAACAGGTCACACTTAGATGCACAGAAAAGGATGACGAAGGGTTTGGAAGCTGGCAGATTCCGTGTCCCCCTCCTCCCCTCCCAACCCAATTGCTGCTTCTCAGCTGGTTGTCGCTTGTGTGTTTCCTGGTGGCTCAGTGACACGTCCATGCTCCGATGGTTCACTCTGGTCACCGGTGCTTCGTTTTCGCCACGCAAAGACTCCCGAGCGGACCTGCTTCATGAAGCTTACACCCGATTTCACGCCTCGGTTCAAGGAACTGCCAAAGGATCAAAGGACGGGAGAGACAAAAATGCCTGGACACAGCCTGGACAAGCCTTTCTGAAGCCCCTTAGAACACATTCATTTCTGAAGCCTTTCTTCATGGCCCTTCCTTCAGTGTTCGCTCGAACTCCAAGCTGCTCCCTTTGATTTTGTACAAAGGTCCAGGGTCCTGCATCCCACGGGCCAGGAGGATTCCACGCTGGCCGCCACTGGCGGAGAGCTTCGACGTTTGTTCGAGTTCAGAAACGGGGAGCCCGCGAATGATTTTGCTGATGGACCACCCGTAGGAATAGTTATATAAACAACTTGTAGTATTGTGGTAGGGTTATAGTTAAATACGTAAGATGTATATTTATTGTGGTAGGGCTACGGTTACACGTGTATGCTTCAAATTATTCCTGGGGGCGTACACATGCTGCTAGACATGGTGGAATAACTTCACGTCTCCGTTCTGAAAGAGAACACGACATCTTTGTCATCATTCTATCTCCTTCCAGGGTCTCTATGAAGATCGCCGTGGGGGAAACCCCACACCACCGCCACGTCCTGCTCCGCGAAGGCCTTGGCAGCCTCCAGACGTTCAGCTGCTTTGGGTCGGCCTGGATCGACCCCGGCACCCGACCCGTCGGGTCCGTTGGAGGTGGGTTACTCTTTGGGGGCTTGTAAATGACCGTGCGCTTTCGGAAGGAGGAGCAGCAGCAGCAATCGGAATATGGCTCCTTCCTGGATATTATGAACATTATCCAGGATCCTCCGGTCCGGTCCTGCTCATTCTTGTTGAAGTTGGGTGGAGGGCGGGTCAATTTTGCTATTTGTTCGGCGGTACAGAACCTACATTGGTCCCACAGACCGCATGACACAGTACTGACCCTCCGGCTTCTTGGAAACTATTATATACTAAGTATTACAGGAACGGTTTCTTCTAAAGAAAGACTTGTGGTTCATAGTCACACAAACCCCCAAGGCCAACATAGGGGAATTTGTGGAATTTGGCTGTCTTGAACAACTTCATGATAAGATATGACAAGTATAATAGTTATAGCTACCCAGTAATACCCAGTGCAGTTCAAGCAGAATGAATAATATTGAATATATAATCAGTAGTACTAACAAACCACTTCAACAAATATCACTAGAGAAACATGCTGTTAGAAGACAATTGAAGAAACAACAGTTTGGTTCTCCCGGCTCCCACCTTTCATTCGGCCCACTGGAAAATTGGGAGCTTCCTCAGTTTTGCAAGTAAAAGCCACAAAAACATTGGCCGCAGCTCGTTGGCTTCTCTGGTGTTTCAAAACCACAAGCAGCAATGCTGGAAAGCGCGATAAAACAGCCAAGCAATAGGCACCATTTACAGCTGTTTGAAGGTAACGGACACGGACAAATCCTGTCTAGAGCTGCACAGACTGAACACTACTTGCTCCATTTAGCACAATGGAGCCCAGCTGCAAAATATTCCTCCTTAGGTCTCACAGACTTCAGGTAACACGAAGTATCACAACTTGTCTTGCCCAGTGATATGAAGAAAAACCTTGACAAGGCGCATGCCAATCCAATGGCAGTCCCTGCAAAGCCCGGTCCAAAAAGAATCAGATCCCAACGACCCCGGGAAACGATATCATGTTGAAATCTGGGGTATAACTTGTATCACTGCGCCCACAAAATCTGGATCACTTCTGATGGAAAATATCCTGCACCCACTGAAAAAAAAAACACTAAGCACCTTCTTGAAATCCGCCGAAATTCTTCCACCAACAGATGCGGCTGCCAAAATTATATGATCACGGATCCAAATACTCAACCACCTGCACCAACCGCATCCCAAGAACATCTTCCCATCCAGCCTTCAGAGAGTACCATGGATATTCGCCCTTGCGGGCAATCTCAATCTTCTCATCACACATATCCGTGCCCAGCAGTTTCAAGCCTGGCAACGGTCCGCGAAACCCGAAGCGGCCGACCGAAGCGATGCGGCTGACCGGATGGGATGAACGACCCAAACGCCCGGTGGGGCCTGCTCTTGGGAAAATCGATGCCAGTGCTCGCTGCCAAATCATGCCTTGCAACCATACTCCGAACATTACAGTAACAAACATCATCTGAGCACACGGTCAAGCACTGCCAAGGAACCCAAATAATAGACTTCCTCAGCTCAAGTTGCACTCTCAATTTTTTGCAACATATGTGTTCCTATCTTTTCTGTTCTGTTAAATTCAAAATCAACTATATAACTAGCAGTTGGTTTCTCAATTTTTGCCTGAAACAACGACGACCTCAATTCCTGGTCGAACGACCGGCGATGTAGCGAGAAGGGAAGAAACCAAAGCGTAGTGTGTCCAATCCTACGTTGCCTGCTGGCTAGACTACATAAATGGACCAGCGATAGACTAATGTGAATGTTGGACAGGTAGTGGCTATTTGTTCCTTTCTGTTTTTGTTTGAAATATGTGTGTGTTTTTTTGGTTTTGTTATGTCGGTCCTTATCGGGGACTAGGAAGGTTCCCAGCAGTGCAGTCCCCTGAGGAGGGGAAGTTCGGCTGAAAAGAACCGAAGGGGGTTGGGGGAGGGCAGAGCGCTTCCCCCAAGAGCAAACCAAGTGCCAAGCCACCAACAAAACTGTACCAAATGCCGACACACAATGTTGTCAAAACCCATAACAATCAAAGCCAAACAAAATCCACGAGATCGCCCAAAACCAAGCCATCAAAAACCAAATGCCAGCCCAAAGCCACGCAAGCCAACAAAAGCAAAAACCGCAGAAGCCACCGAAGTCAATTCCACAGAAACAGCCACCAAAGCCAAAAGCCACCAATGCCAAATGCAACTTTTCAAAAGAGCGCCCTCCTTGCTAAGTCCATCAAAGTTGCTTCACCAGATGAGCAGCCACAGCTCCAGCAAGAGATCGCAGATCCTCCTTCGAGACATGCCAAGTCACCCGAAGGCCCGAAGTCGAAACTGTAATAGGTTGTCGGGCTTTTGGTTGGGGCCACACTAGTGTAAGACTGACTCTCATCTTGAATCACTCCGCGCTACCATAAAAGCCTATACATATGTACAACATGTATATGTATGGATGTGTATTTTCTTATTTTTAAAGCATACAGTGTAATATAAGTATAATATAGGTCTATCCGATTACCAGTAAGGTGGACCCCCGCCGAACCTCAACCACGAGCTCTGGCTGGCAGTGTTCCCCGCCGGACCTCAACCACGAGGTCCGGCTGGCAGTGTTCCCTGCCGGACCTCAATCAGCACACAACCACAAACACAAACACACAATCACAAACACAACCACAAACACAATCACAATTATACAACCACAAGCACAATCACAAACACAACCACAAACACAACCCCAATCACATCCACAAACACACAAACACAAGCACACAACCACAATCACAAACACACAGCCACAAACACAAGCACACAAGCACGATCACAAACACACGATTACAAACACAACCACACAACCACAACACAAACACACAACCGCAAACACAAACACAACCAAGAATACACATCCACAAACACAAACACATAATTACAAACACACAACCACAAACACACAGCCACAAAGACAACCACAAACTACACACACCCACAATGACAGCACACAACCCGAGGACCCACAAACAAAGTCGAGAACCACAAAACTCACGACCGTGGCAACATGCTCCTCACCATGGCATGAAGACAAAATTTACTGATACTTGTTTACCGACTGTTACAGGTAATGGGACAGGGCATATAAATATAGAATTATATAATAGACCACTTGGAACACCAAACAGCCTTAGCGATTTGACATGTGCCATCGGGCCGCGCGGTCACCCGGTGCCTTGTTGAGATGCGTGCTGTGCAGCAGCCCAAAGCACCACATCTGCTACTGCGATCCAAGCCTCGGCCAGTGCAGTCCGCCCGCCACGGTGGAGGCATCCGGGTGAGTTCGCCAAGAGGCCGAGGCATCCCGGTTGAAGCGAGAGAATCTCTGAAAGGAAGGCCTCAGACTCAGACGCTGAAAGCAACCAGCAAAGACGCTGAAGAAAGGAAGGCCTCATAAGGCTTCACCACTTTGATTTCAGATGTTGACAACCTCCTTTCTACGACGCTGAAAGTTCAATCACCTTTTGGGAAAACACGATCGCATCCAAGTCCTTCCTGCGGCTCCGAGGCGATCTGGCCAGAGTCTCTTTGGTCTCTTTGCCAATGGGCACTGTCTCCATGCCATGAGCTGATCAATGATCACCGAACCAGCAAAGCATCAATCGCAACACACGCACATACCATCTCACAATCGCCATATATATATATATATATATATATATTTGTCAACCAGGTGTTCACAGGGCCAGTTAAATAGAAACAAAGTCTCAACTCAAAGGTCATGACATGTCATGAATGGCTTCATAGATGTATTGAGCCCAATACCTCTGAAGAAAGCGAGCCAAGAAAAGACCTTGACACCGTCCACGGATGAGCCTTCAAGAAATGCGCTCACATTTGCAATGACGAGCTTTCTCACTTTTGCCCTAAGCGGAAGCATGCAGCTGCTCAGGCGATATTCGATAGCCCGCATTCTCAACCTCAAGTCAAGTCAAGTCAAGTCGGAGGCACCTTTCGTGATGTCCAAACGAACAACATTCTGTCTGCAAGAATGAAAGCCATGCAAACTGATACGTTTGTTGTAATTACCTCCGTTCTTTCTAACGTTTTGCCAGTTTCGGGTGTGGCAGTCAGACTGCCAAACTGGGGCTTCAATTCTTCCATCAAACCAGTAGCCAAGCAGCTGATTTCCTTTGGTCGTCCTGGGCGGAAAGTCGCCAAAACGGAAGCAACACGTTGTGTCTTCCCGGATTCTACAACCAAAGCACTCGACGAAGAGGCTTGCGCATATCATAGGCATCCTCATCTCCAGAATAGTACCCAGTCACAGTACCTCAAAGAACTGCCACAAATCGGACAGCACACAGACTGTTTCCCCAATGCGTTGCTTCTTCCCAGATCTTCCCAGCCCCAGCCACACGGCTATTCACAAGGCTGAACATGTTTTAACATGTTTTCACAAAAACTAGACTGATACTGGTTCACATTGATTCTCACTTTGGATTCTGGGGGGTATGGCCTGTTCAGGTGTTAACATTTTTTGGTTTTGGCAGTTGGGAAGCGAGGATGGGGCAGGATGCTTACACCAAATTCCCCCAATCAGAGAGAGCAAGCCAAACAACACACTCAGAATAGCCAATACATGCCAATACTATCTAATACAAGTCAACCGCTCAAAATCTTCAATGTCTTTGGTCGAGTCGTTTTGCTCGGCAAATCACATCGCCGGCTCCGGCGTCACAAGAAGCACACCCCCGGGCCGTAGGGGTGGTGTTTCAAAGCAGTTCCCATAGCAGTTCTTTCCCAGAGAGATTTGTGTGTGCTATTTGTTTTTAAAAGGGGCTGGTGGAAGCAAGGTAGCTAGTAGCTTAAGTAGCTACTACTTAGGACGCAGGATAGCTCACGCTTCTTCCAGGAATGCATTACTATACCTTAAGTCTTCCTTAAAATCTAGGAACCAAATCATTAGTGCGAGCTTCCTTGAAGAAGCCCGAACTATCCTGCGTCCAAGGTAGTGGCAACTTGAGCTACTAGCTACCCAGCTACTAGCTACCCCACCTCGACTTCCCCGCCTCCCCCCTTCATCAAAAAAACACACACACACACCAAAAATAACTAGTTACTAGATTTTTAGGAAAACTTCACTGCTCCAAGCTCAGAGTTGTTTACTGAGCTTATTATTTACTGAGTTTACTGTGTTTTCCTGCTCAGCTGCCAAGCTTCCCTCGATTGGTCAGGTTGTTTCGCCTGTGGATGTTGTTTCGCCGTTTCGCCTACGCCTGTTTTCCGGACCACCGTCTCCTTGCATCGACATGTCTGTTCAATTTCCCTCTCACGAATATGTGTGCAAAAAAGGGGGGCCTGTTGATCTGAGTGGCGGTAAATCACGTAGCCCAAGCCTTCGTAAAACTTGATGGCTGCTGTGTTGGTCGGGCGCACAAACAAATCCACAAAGTAGCAATCGTGCATCTCCTCGCTGACCTGTCAGTCTGTAAGGTTCTTCATGTTTCTTTGATTACTACCAGTAGTAGTAGTAGTAGTAGTAGTAGTAGTAGTAGTAGTAGGAGTAGGAGTAGCAGTAGCAGTAGCAGTAGCAATGGCAGTAGTAGTAGTAGTAGTAGTAGACTCCATAGACAGTCCAGTTTTAAGCAACACGACGTCGTAACCCAGCCTTCCCTTTCAGATCTTGCACCGTTTGGACGGCCACAAAACACTCAGAAAGAACCCGTCGGCCTCCTCCAAGTACTCCATGAGCCGATTGGCCACGCCCGTCCGCCGAAACTCCGGCGCGACGGAGATGGCCGAGACGTGGCCGTGCCAACTGGGACCGGATGCCGTGGTGGCCGTGGTGGTTCTCACAGCATTCGCTGGTAGAACTAGGCACAAATAGTTCAGTATGCTACAGTGGTGTGACAAAAAGGAAAGAGATACGAAACCCAAAAGAACTGCAGTTCAAGAGCTCAAGGGTTTTGTATGGGTTTTGTGTAACCTGCCCGAAACTAATGGCGCACTCGCCCTTTTTTTGTTGATAGTTTTGCGAGTGAGCACGACTCCTGATTGGGGAGAAGCCAAGAGCTTCCGAACCCTCTTAGAAATCTATTGCATTTTATACCAAACACATTTGGCACATTTTGGCACCACATCCACTGAAAGCACCTTTGGCGTAGCATGGGATTCAGCAGTGTGTGGCCACCATGTGTTTTGGTCATCCAGCGTCATCGGTGTCTACTAATGCCCGCAACAACCCCCCCAAAATATTATCTCGACGCATCGACCATTCATCAACATCGTCTTCTACTACTCACACGAACGAAACCACCCCACCCCACACCGAACTCCCCTTAAACTGTAGCCCGATCAAACGACTTGGCATATGCAGAGAGAAAAAAAACATGTTAGTTAAGGAGTAAAGACGGCACAACATGAAAAACAACAGGCATCTATGACACGTGTTCCAACTGCATGCTCACAACAGTGCTCAACATCTTCAAGAATCAAGAACATCTGGATCATCTCAAACCTTGTGCGCTATGTGTGACCCCAACACATAAGAATACACTACACGCTACTGCCACAACTCACTGACAGGGCACTTGGCGCCAGCTCCTTCCACTTTTCCAATGATATATCCAGCGATGGACCCATCTGCTTCCGCCACCTCAGAGACGCTTTTTTGTGCGTGCATAGCAGTCGCAGCTAGCCATGGGATTTGGCAAAAAACAGTTCTGAGACCTTGGAAGCCCTCCTATTAGAGAGCTTCTGTTTGAGGGTGTTGAACTCTGAGCAAAATAACATAAGGTTCTACGCTCTCTTGGCAATGCGAAACTACGACTTCCCAAGTATGACATAGCATGACAGTATGACTACTACTTGTGATGAGAAACAACTTTACCAAGGCCAAACAAGCAATCACGGACCACAACCATCAACACCCAGGTGCAGCGCAGCATTCTGGCCATCGGGTTAGGTAGTTGAAATAGAAGTTCATGTTGAAGGTCTCTGTGAAGACATCCAAATTTACAGCCTCAATCAGTCGATTCGGCACGCTGTGACAAAGCAATTCGGCACCCCCGGTCTTGGTCTGCTCCTGTGCAGAGCGAAACGAAGCAGAAACCGAAGTGGTCTGCTCAGTCTCCACTTCGGTCTGCTGAGTGTCTTGCATTGAAGTGGAGAAGGTCATCCAGCATCATGGGCCGTATGCTCGCCATTCGAGTTCAACTCGAGCGAGCTCTGAAATCGCAGCCGGTCCGCGCCAGTCCGCGCCGGGCCGTTCACCCGGTCCTGTAGGAGTCCCAAAACGGGGGTCTGATGCGGCTGTCCACAGCCGTTTGTGGGAACGCTGTGAAACACCACCTGGTTGGATCTTGGACCACAAAATACAGTTGGCCCGGCCCAAAACACGGGCTTCAAGGTGTCTATCGTGATGTGGTGTCTCCCAATTTGGAGAGACATGGTCACACGGTCCTCCTACCGTCTACCTCGGTAAACCAACGAAAAGGGATCTGTCACTTTCTCCGTGAGGGTCGGGTGAACAAGAGAACGAAAAGTGATGAAGGGTGTTTCTGGCTCTCAGAGATCCTCGATGATATGAGTGATGCTTTTCTATTCCTTATTCTCGAGCCAAAGGCTCACAGGCTGACAGAGTGCTCCGCTTGCTGCAATAAGTACTCTCCGTCCAAGCGGACCCGAAAATAATATCTGTGGTCAAGTATTATGGTCAAGTGTATCAACAAGTCAGTGTATCGCCACCTTTTGCTTTTCTTAGCCGAAAAATGCTGAGAACCAGTGAGTGCTCAAGCAAGTGCATCATCACACAGACACGCTGCGCAAGAGATCAGGATCGAAAGCTTGTCATCAAAGCGCTCTTCACATCTCTTCACCTCCGAAGGCCTGAGACACGGCCGGTGCTGATCCACGAAACCCTTCGAGCTCTTTGAGGGTCGACACCTTCTCTTCCAATTTCGCTGCGTCCCGAGACGGGTGTCCTGAACCGTCCCGAACCGTCTCGAACCTCGTCGAACCTTGACGAAGCTCGTCGAACCTCGCGGCCTGCGGCTTGGAGCTCAAAGACCACGTCCGTTCGTCCAGCTGGAACGAATCGAATCCACGTAGTGACTTGTTGCCCGCCACCGACTGTTTCTTCTGGTGTAAGGGGACGATGCCGCAGATGCCGAAGCCAATGCCTTTTGAGAAGTCTGAGAGGAATTGGTTTCATTGGTTCCATGGAGATGCTTCGCTGTAGGCTGCCTGTAGGTTTGCCCTTCGTCTCATGTTTCAAGTCCTGAGCTTGACGAATCGAAAACTGAACTGGTAAATCCCCAGCAATGGAAGGTACATCAACCAAATGCAAACATCTGTCATGTCAGAGACAAAATAATGTCCTCGGTACATCTACGACAAACCTGCAGCCACCCTAAGCCCTCTCTCCCAATTGCTTGCCAAGTGGCCCACTTTGTCCTACAGCAAACATCACAGCTCGCTGTCGGGGTTCACTGTAGTTTGCAGTGTAGGGGGGTGCGATGCAACTCATGTCCCGAAACAAGTTTGGTTCCTGTCCTGGCACATAAAACCATCTGGCTTCGTAGTAGGTCCCCAACAAGGGGCTGGGGCTCTCGCCAATGTGCAGAATCTCTCCATTCTCCTTGGACAACCATCGCACTGGAGCTGATGATTCTCTGAGAATGGCAACCCAAGGGCATCAAAATACGTAGTAGTAGCAGCAGTAGATAGTAGTAGATGGTGGTAGTCGTAGTCGTAGTCGTAGTAGTAGTATAGTTATAGTAGTAGTAGTAGTAGCAGCAGCAGCAGCAGCCGCCGCGGCAGCAGCAGTAGTAGCAGCAGCAGCAGTCAGTAGTCAGTAGTAGTAGCAGTTTTATGTAGTTGTAGTAGTGGTAGTGGTAGTAGTAGCAGCAGCAGTAGTAGTCGTAGTAGTCGTAGTAGTAGTAGTAGTAGTAGTAGTAGTATATAGTAGTAGTATATAGTAGTAGTATATAGTAGTAGTATTATATAGTAGTAGCATATAGTAGTAGTATACAGTAGTAGTATATAGTAGTAGCATATAGTAGTAGTAGTAGTATATAGTAGTAGTATATAGTAGTAGTAGTAGTAGTAGTAGTAGTAGTAGTAGTAGTAGATAGTATAGTAGTAGTAGTATATAGTAGAATATAGTAGAATATAGTAGTATATAGTAATATAGTAGTAGTATATAGTAGTAGTAGTAGTATATAGTAGTAGTAGTATATAGTAGTAGTAGTAGTAGTAGTAGTAGTAGTAGTAGTAGTAGTAGTAGTAGTAGTATATAGTAATATAGTAGTAGTAGTAGTAGTAGTAGTAGTAGTAATAGTATATAGTAATATAGTAGTAGTATATAGTAGTAGTATATAGTAGTAGTATATAGTAGTAGTAGTAGTAGTAGTAGTATATAGTAGTAGTATATAATAGTAGTATATAGTAGTATATAGTAGTAGTAGTAGTAGCAGTAGTAGTAGTAGTAGTGGTAGTGGTAGTGGAAGTGGTAGTGGTAGTGGTAGTGGTGGTAGTAGTAGTAGTAGTATATAGTAGTAGTATATAGTAGTAGTATATAGTAGTA